AAAAAAAAAAAAAAAAAAGATTCGTTTTCACTATTCCAAAACAGAAAAACAGAACACACAGAACTCAGGCAAGGTTAGCTCTCTCACATTTGGCAATCCAGAGACAAAATCTAAGGCTTTAGATTTTTAAGAACTGATGCTTCTATTTTCAATTCTGTCTGTAACCCTAAAGTGAGCCAGAAGTACATGTGAAGATATGTCTGTCTGAAAATTAAAAAAAAAACAGTCTCATAATCTGACAAAACAGGTACAATAAGTACTTGAATGAGAAATGAGATGATATAAAATAGCACGCACAGTGAAACATTTTTAAATGGATGTACACGGCATAGAACAATGTTAAAACATACGATCCAAAAGTGATAACGGTAATTATCTCTTTGCATAATGATGGTCATCTTTTATGTCTATTTCTAGATTTCCTACGACGAACAAAGAATAAAGATAAATAAAACATATATTTAACTAGACTATTAAATCCCATCTGTTTAGTTTGTCTATTAACCGATGTCTCAGCCAGGATACAAACTGCGACAATATTTTTTAAATTATAACTTCGAAATGCCGATGTGTATCACTATGTATACCGATGGCATAGATGCTTAAACACTTCATATCTTCAACTCAAAATCCCTTCCAAGGTATAAACACGGATGTTCTTTGAACTCATTATGACACAGAAAATATCTTAAATACTTATGGGGGCGGGCGGGGGGAAGCTACGTACTACAATGGACAAATAAAAATAGTTTCTCTAAAAAAATACTGACCAATCTAAATAGCTTCAGAAAGGATACATGAAACTGTAAAACAACTTCTTGAGGAGACTTTGGTACAGTTAAACTACTTGCAAACCACAGTTTCATCTACGTCAATATGCAACATTTTAAAACCACACAAAAAGGAAAGGAAATTTTTAGTCTAGCCAACAGCGCTGCAGGGGGACTGAGACTGGCGGTGCTGTGGCTAACTGAACGGCTCATGTTTGTCTGAAGACAGGAGCGAGGCCTGCTGAGGCACAGAGAAGATCCCCCAGGTATGTCTTTTTAAAGACTTAATATATTCAAGTGCTTTTTCATGGAAGGTAAATTTTCGATTTTCAGCGTTCAACCCATGTAAGTAGAAAAAGCCAACATGCAACAAGATCATTGCATACAAGGGCACCAGTTACTAAATGCAAAATAGATCCCAGCTGTGGACTACATCGGGATTTTCTTCCATCTAATCACCCCACCCATCTGTCTCAAAAAGACAGCTTAATTCACACCAGACTGAATACCTAAGCAACAGTGACCATGTAGTAACTCGATTTCATAACTGGGTGGATAAAGGTTATGCAGTAAGTCTTCACGGCAGGACACAACACTTCCTAAAGGGACTTTACATGCTGTATGCTGTAATGATATACAGTGATTAAGTGTAAAAAAAATACAATAATAAAACACTTTAAAATTTTAAAAGATAACACGTCAAGCTCACAAACGGTACTTAGTAAATGCTGATTTTTTTTTTCTTATCTACAAAACTACATTCCAAAAATGCTGAGGCTGGTGAAAGAATAGGGTGTATATACTTACATATGTGAACAGATATATATCTATATATATATCTGTATCTATATATAGCTGTACACATACACACACACACACACACACACAGAGATACGCGTGTGACCTAAAGTCAGTCATAAACTGCTCAGAAAGGAGGGGCTGTGAAGCACTAGACTAAAACGCCACGTCTAACTTTCTCACTAAGGACATTATGATCTTGAGTAAATTATTAAACTTCTTGGGACCTCTGTGAGCTCCTGGATAAACCAAGTGGTTTGTGTTCATCCAAATTCAGTTTCTTCCACTTTAACATCCTAGGATTCTACTATCCTGGAACACGGCATTAAGTGAAAAGTCATTTTACATACTTTAAAAAATAACTTCACAAATATTACAGTTGGTATTTCGAGAAAATTCTACCGTGGCATCTATAAAAATCTAATGAGTTTATTTTCTAAACAATGAGCACTATCCAAGTTAAGGAGACACTTTAAATGACTTCTTGATTATGCAGGAGTGCTTCCAGTTTCTACTGGATAATAACTGGTGGGCAAAGAACGTATCCAACATTAAGTTCTCAAAATTGTGGCAGAGAACATAGGCTGTTACGAGAGTGTTACTTGGTCTCTAATTGACATAACCAAAAACTGTAAATAAATTAGTTTTTCATTGCAATATGGATAAGAGTTCAAAAGCAAAATAGAGCAAAACACGGTTCTTGAGCATCATTGAATAAAGAGATACACTGTAATTATTTTAAATAAATTACTCATGTATAATATATATGCATATGTACTTAGAATATTAATTATTCAAAACATAGTATTCCGGGACCAGCAGATGGCATAATGGGTATGTCAGTGGACCCCCACATATTTAACCATGGTTCGAGTCCTGGACCCAGCAACTTAATACTCACTTCTGGCACATGTGCATGCATACCCGAAATCCAGAAAGGAGAGTGCAGGACAAGGGACTGTGACATGGCCTGCTCCCATGGGTGGTGATTTCTCACTTTCCGTCCCTCTGTCTCTGTCTCTCCAGCGAGTACACATGCCCTCTAGCAAAAATCTCTCTCAAAAAAAAAAAAAATTATTCTAACTCTTCTCCTTATCCTCTCTCATGGGTAAAATGAGACTGCACCATATTACTGCACAAACAATGAACCACTTAAAGAGACACATTATCATGTTAATATTACGATGCAACATTTGAATTAATGGAATATTAAAAAAATGAAAAGCCAAACTCCTTCCCCCTCATAAAAGAAGAAGGAGCAAAAGTAGGAAATGTAATCAATATATACTAAAACTAGTTTTGACACAGAGAAAACAGTACATTCAGAATTCCAGGACCAGCAGCTGGAGTAATGGCCATGTCGCTGGACTCCCATGTAGTGAACCACAGTTCTAGTCCCGGACCCAGTGGCTTAGACTCACGTCGGGCACATGTGTGTGCGTGCCTAAGATCCCGAGAGGAGAACGGAGGAAAAGGGACTGCGGCGTGGCCATCCCCCCTGGGGGATGATTTCTCACTTTCTGTCTCTCTGTCTCTGTCTTTCTGGTGAGCGCATGTGCCCTATAGCAAAAACCTCTCAGGAAAAAAAAAAAAAAAGAACTCCAAAGAAATAACAGATAGTGACTGTCAAAAATTATGATCATAAGTCAGCCAGTGAAGCCGGGGATAGCTTTTAGACATTAAGAGTTTCCGTCAGACCTTTAGGAAGGGCAGGATTCACGAACAGGAAGGATAAAGGCAGAGAGCCCGAAAAATGATCAAGGGAGACCCTGGTCCTGTCCCAGCAAGCTGTGAAGGCCTGAGAAACACTCCCAGCCCAGACCACCGTACTTGGAGGCTCAGACTAGATACTATCAATAAAGGTTTCCACCAGCCTTAAAGTCCTATACTGCCATAGTAATTTTTAAAGTGAAAATACAAACATCAAAAGTACCAGAAGAGTATGGACCTCACCAATCTAGAGTGGAGATTAAGAGATACTGGGGTGAATACGGAGCTTCCGGAAACTCAGGAAATAAAGTCAGGTTACACTTACAGGCTAGGACCTAGGTTTCACTTTTAATTACGTATACTGTAAGATGGAACATCAAAATACAAGAAAGGCCTGACTTCTTTTACTAGTAGTTATGGAAAAAGAATGAATATTTTATTTCAGCTCTTTTACCTGAGAATTACTTAGGACTCAGTTCCTGTCACATGATAAACCTGTAGTAAAGACTGGCTGGTATAATTATCATCTCCATCTTTATTATCACCACCATCACTACTACGATTATGATTGAGACATGTTTTGGAGTGGTTTTCAATGTGGCTTTGGGGATCAGAGTGCCTGGGCTGGAATCCTGGTTCTATAACTTACAGCCATGTAGCCGTGTGTATTTAACATCATAGGCTTCAGTTTCCTCACCTGTAAAACTCAGAGGGTAGCAACAGCTCCTCGTCAGGATGATGAGCTATTAAATAAGTAGATGGAGGGGGCCAGCAGGTGGCGTGGTGGTTAAGGGACCTGGACTCCCGCATGGCCGACTGCAGTTTGAGTCCTGGACCTGGCGGCTTGCTTTCTCACTTTCCCTCTCTCTCATTCTATCCCTCTCTGGCCAAATTAAAATAAATGAATAAATAAAGTTAAATAATTATTTTTAAAAATGTTTATTAAATAAATAAGTGGATGGGAAGCACTTTGCGCAGCAACAGACACAGGAAGACCTTAATTATTTTCATGAATTTAGTATAGAATAAGATAATTCATGGACCCTAAAGTCCTTACTCTGGTAGGAAAAGGGGCAGAACATATGACACTTTGCTAAAACTTAATGTGTACCACTTAATTATCTGCTTTATATACTGCTTCATTTCAAGATGAAAGGAAAAAGTATTATTAAATACTTGAGATTATTAATTCTTCAGGGAATTTATATTTAGAAAGGCTTCAGGAGATTTTCTTTTTTCTTTTTTCCTTTTGAGAGGTTTTTCGCTATAGAGCACGTGTGCTTGCCAGACAGACAAAGAGAGAGACATAGAGACAGAAAGTAGGAAATCACCCCCCAGGGGGGATGGTCACGCTGCAATCCCTTCTCCTCCATTCTCCTCTCAGGATCTTGGCACGCACAAATGCCCGGCGTGAGTTCTAAGCCACCGGGTCCGGGACGCGAACCGCGGTCGACTACATGGGAATCCAGCGACATAGTCATTATGCTAACTGCTGATTCCCTTCAGGAGGTTTTTGTATTTTTTTTTGAGGGAGCTTTCAGAGAATGACTGTTTGACCTACTATGTCAGCTAGTATATTTACCATTTGCTGTTTTTAAAATGGTTGAAGAAAGTTATATATCAATTTTTTCCTGCTAAAATACAAAAATAATCTGGTCTTCAAACCAAAACAAAGTTAATAAGGAAAAGGAGGACCCAGAGCAAAAGATGTAGTCATGGCCCTAAGCATGTGACTTTGAGTGAATGAGGTCAAAAAGAACCCAGTCAAGGGGACCCAAGCTTTTACTGTCATTCTCAATGTCAATGTCTTGAACTTCTTGACTTTTAAAAGCCTCAAAACCCACAGTAAGAGAAAAAAAAAAAAAAAAGTCCAGTAAACATTAAAATTAGATGTTTTGATAGCAATGTAACTGAATCTCTGAGGGTTTTGTAATCAAATAACATACAGTCATGCTCCAGAAGCTTTTAAAATACATTTCTCATAAAACTACTCCAAAATATTGGGACCAGCAGTTAGCGTAATGACTATGTCGCTGGACTCCCACATAGTCGACCGCGGTTTGCATCCTGGACCCGGTGGCTTAAACTCACGCCAGGCGCGTGTGCGTGTGTGCCCAAGATCCTGAGAGGAGAATGGAGGAGAAGGGATTACGGCGTGACCATCCCCCCTGGGGGGTGATTTCTCACTTTCTGTCTCTCTGTCTCTCTCTGTCTGGCGAGCGCACGCACCCTATAGCAAAAACCTCTCCAAAAGAAAAAAAGATATTTTACTAGTTTTGTACTATTTGTATAAAATAGTGTCATTAGAACTAACTGTATTCTTCTTTATAATATTTTCATCCCAAACCTCAAAATCCAGCGTGTAAACTGCACAGCACACATCAATTTGGGATGTCACGTTTTAAGTGTTCAATGGCCACACGTTACTACAGGCAGTTGTGTTAGGCATCACAGGCTGATAGCATATGAAACTGGAGCAATGACATTTCTGGTCCTCTAATTCCTTCTGCAAAAGTGAAGGGAAATTTCATTTCTGAAAAGGTTCTGATGGATAGCACAATTCAGGGTCTACTTTCTAGGTAATGTTTTCAAAATTTTACTATAATTTTCTGTCATCCTTTTCCTCCTTTATCAACCTAGGTTCTCTAGCATAAGTAGCCTTATGAATCTATGAAAACAGAAAACCAGAAAGCGCTTTAAATTCAACCACAACCCTAGTTTCCTCCCTCCACTTCTCAGAATCTGAGTTCACTTATCTCCCCTACAAACTAACTTCCAACCCAACTGGTAACAAAAAAAGCTTTCAGAATGCAAAAGCATGAGGTCAAAAACATCCCGTCCATGAGCAAAATTTTGAGGGGATTTTCTGAAAGTCATGACATCAAACAACGGAAACCCCTTCACAATTTAGGATGTCCGTACCAAACCACCAATCTAACCAATTTGCCAATAAAATTCTTTCCAAAAACTATGAATAGAAAGACAGTGGTATATAGTGAGTGCATGCATGTTTAAAGAATATACTTTTCATTTAAATGACTAAATCCTTCTCTTTTTGTTTTAAACAGATCCTTTCGATTCAGAGTCTTAATTTTCCCTCAAGATGACGAACAGTTCATCCTCCTGCCCAGTTTACAGAGACCTGGAGCCATTCACGTATTTTTTTTACTTAGTTTTTCTGGTTGGAATTATTGGGAGTTGTTTTGCAACCTGGGCTTTCATACAGAAAACTACGAGTCGCAGGTGTGTGAGCATATACCTAGTCAACCTGCTGACGGCCGACTTCCTTTGCTGACTCTGGCATTACCGGTGAAAATTGTGGTTGACTTGGGTGTCGCACCCTGGAAATTGAAGATATTCCACTGCCAGGTAACGGCCTGCCTCATCTACATCAATATGTACTTATCCATCATCTTCTTGGCATTTGTTAGCATCGACCGCTGTCTGCAGCTGACCCACAACTGCAAGGTCTACCGAATACAGGAACCTGGATTTGCCAAAATGATATCCACGGTCGTGTGGCTGATGGTCCTTTCTATCATGGTACCAAACATGCTGATTCCCATCAAAAACATCGAGAGAAAAACCAATGTAGGTTGTATGGAATTTAAAGAGGAGTTTGGAAAAAATTGGCATGTACTAACCAATTTCATATGTTTAGCAATATTTTTAAATTTCTCGGTCATCATTTTAATATCCAATTGCCTCGTAATTCGACAACTCTACAGAAACAAAGAGAATGAAAATTATCCAAATGTGAAAAGAGCTCTCATCAACATACTTTTAGTGACCATGGGCTACATCGTATGCTTTGTTCCTTACCACATTGTACGAATCCCGTACACCCTCAGCCAGACAGATGTCATATCTGACTGCTCCACCAGGATATCGCTCTTCAAAGCCAAAGAGGCCACCCTCCTCCTGGCTGTGTCCAACCTATGCTTTGATCCTATCCTGTACTATCACCTCTCTAAAGCATTCCGCTTAAAGATCACGGGGACTTTAACTTCACCTAAAGAGACCGCGGATAGGAAAGAAAAATCAAGATGTGAAAATGACACACACAATATGGGATTTCATTTTTATGATACCACTTACTAGACCATAGAAAGAGGAAAAAAAAAAAATCTTGGGGCTAGTAGGAGGTGTGGTAGTTAAGGTGCTGGACTCCCACATGGCCAAACATGGTTCGAGTCCTGGACTCTAGAGCTTGAAAAATCACACCACGCTCATGTGCGTGCATGCCCAAAATCCTGGGAGAAGAATGGAGGAAAAGGGATTTTTCCTCCTGAGGGATAATTTCTCACTTTCCCCTCTCCATCTCTCTCTGTCTCTCTCCAGTGAGTGTATGCACCCTACAACAAAAACTAAAAAACAAACAGAAAAACTCAGTAATAGGAAAATATAGATAGCTCTCAAGCTCCCAAATGTGGACTGGTTTATTTAGAAATCCTGTTTCTAAATATAAGCCGAGCTCATACTGAAGATTGTGATGCTCCTTAACTCAAATATTTGTATAAAAGTCTTTTAAGCATCTTATTGAACTAGTATAAAACTCTGAAATATGCTTGAAATCCAAAACAGAGGTCCATGATGCAGAATCAGAGATATTAACGAAGTATTTATTTAAATGTCTGTAACTGTCTTTACAAAATATTCAAAAAAGTCTCCACATAAGTTGCCAGAAAGCCTTTTGGCAACACAATTTCAAACGACTTTAGATCACGTTTTTAAAAAAAAGAATAAACAGCTTACATAAAATCACCTATGCCTACCTTAGTTTTCAATTCATCACTTCATAAGATTCTAGGTAGCTCTGTTACTCCAACTTTTAATAGTTCATCTTTTTATAACAAATAACTAAAACCTTTTGTTTAAAAAGGCCTGGAACTACATGGGTAATTTTCAATGTATTGTATTTACTTATATTCTGCCTATAGATGATAAATAAATGTTTCATTCTGTTAGCAATGGTAAATCCAGTGACTTCTTATTTTCATTTTGTAGTAACATGAAATACATAGGAGCTGTAACATTTTCGGGGTAGCTGTTAAATTATACTAACTACGAAAATTACTGTTCTGGAGTTAGAAACTTACATGGAAGAGAAGGGAAAGCAGCACCAGTCAATAAGCTTAAAACAGACACATTAACTAGACACATTCACGTAGCAAGATCAGGCTAAGAATGCAGCACAGGCCAGACTGACTGGTGTCACTCCAGTCCAGAAAGGCAAGCCTGACCCCAGTTGGGCCATCAGTTGAAATTACAGGTGACTCCAGCTGTCGCAATCCTAACTCTGATCCAATTCTTTCCAATACCAGTGATGGGGAAAGGATTCACTGTAGGTATTGAATGAGTGGCTTACTGGGAGAACGATGATGCTTACTTTCATGTGTATATTGGCCACATGATTAAGAAACGGTGTTCCTGGAAGCTAGGAAAACAAGCTTGATTCCAAACGCATGACTGCATCTGAAGAACTATTCTCTGAAGCTTAAAACTCCTATCTATAATTTCACAAATATATTCCCTGAGTCTATACACTTTTCTTTGAAAAGTGCGTATTTCAAAATGTCTAACACGATGAGTACAGAGTCTAGCCAGCCGGTAGTTATGGCAGGGGAGGCCAGCCCCCCAGTTAGGGCAGGAATCCCCAGCCTCACAGTATCCGTACGGATGCGGTGTGACTGACTTTCCTAAGTCACAGGCTGGACGGATGCCAAGTCACGAGGACCTGTGCTTGCTGGTAGTCTAAAGAACGCAGGCAGATCAAGACATTGTTTGTATAACGGCAAACATGACATCGGTTTATTTTTCTGAAACTTGGGTCAAGTCTGCTTTAGTTCTCTCTCTCCTTGATCTTCGCTCACTGGGGCCACATATTAGAAACAGAGAGAAATAATAACTTATTTTTTAAAACCATAATCATATATTCTCCTCACATGGATGATACGTTAGTTATATTTTCCTTTATTAAGGAAGGCAACCGGCTAGCGTCACTAGCATCCCTAATGTCAGTGCTGTATTAACATATCCTATTATTTCACCTACGGATGGCTTCTTCTAAACTTCAATTATGATAAAGGGGGTGTTAGGACAGCTGGTGGAAGAAGGCTATTAAAAAAAGCATATCTAGGCGGGGCTCATGGCCTACTGGTTAAAAGAACTGGAACCCACATGGCGGACTACAATCTGAATCCTGGGCCTGGCATCTTAAAAAACATGCCACGTTCATGAGCATGCATGCCTCAAATCCAGACATGATGGAACAATCAAAGAGAAGGGATTGTGGTGTAACTACATCCCAATACAGGGTTCTTTCTCCCTCTCCCCATCTCTCTCTCTCTCTTGAAAATATACATGCCCTCTAGCAATTAAAACAAACAAAAACTTGTATCCTATAGTATCTATTCATAGGTCTTTCCTAATGGTATTACAATGGAAATAAGTCATGATTCTTCATGACAGTTGGTCATTAAAAATCATTCAGGTTCTTGGGACCAGCAGGTAGCGTGGTGGTTAAAAGCGCTGGACTCCTACGTGGACAACCATAGTTTGAGTCCAGGACCTGGCAACTTGCTTTCTCTCTTTCTCTCTCTCTCTCTCTCTCTCTCTCTCTCTCTCTCTCTCTCTCTCTCTCTTTCTCTCTCTCTCTCTCGTAAGACTGAAAAAAATAACAATGACAAGTGGAATTAAATAAATAAATATTTTAAAAAGAAAGAAAGATCATTCAGGTTTTTTCCTGTAAGAAAACAGTCCTTGGAATGCTGAGTGCTGGAAATGACCGTGAAGCCACAGTCATGTGAATAAGAGAAGAAGCTGGTGCTTGGTGCCCGGCTTAGACACCCAGATGTTCGGAGGAGGGAGATTGGCAAAACTCTGCTCATCCAGGAGAATCACAGAACCCTCAACCGCTTTCAGTGACTTTCAGAATGTTGCCATATTTGTTGTATTTACATCTTCCTTCTTTTTTTTAGTTAAACTTTTCATTTTTGAGTAACTTCGGATTTACAGAGAAGTTGCAAACATAGTATAGCGTTCCCATAAGCCCTCGCCCATTTTCCCTAACAGAACCATGGTGCATTTGTTGAAACTAAAAAGATAACATTACCATATTACCATAAGTAAACTCTAGACTTTATATCCCCCTTCTTAGGATCCTGAACATTTTAACACAATTCCCAACAGCATAACAGTTTAGCCATCAATTCTTCAAGATACACCTTGAAATATAAAACTGCCCTCTCCACTGCCTTAAAAAAAAAAAAAAAGAAACAAACAAAAACATAAAACTTTGAGAGGGCCAGCCCTGAGGTTAAGATAGCTAGATCCCACATGACCAACTGCAGTTCAAATCCTGGCCAAAGTAGCTTGAAAAACACATTGGGCACATTAGCATGCATACCCTGAATCCTGAAAGGATGGAGAAATGAAAAAAGGATTGTGATATAACCACACCATCTGAGAGGGTTCTCTCTCTCTCTCTCTCTCTCTCTCTCTCTCTATCTTTTTCTCTTTCTCTCTGGTGAGTGCACATGCCCTTCAGCACATTTTAATAAACAAACAAATAAAAAACCCTGTGACACTATTCCATTACAATGGAAATGAATACTATCTACAGATAGCAGTTACAAACTGCTAATGTGTTAATATGTTCAGGCAGTAGTGAACAGAAAGAATTCTGGCAAGCTTTTTTTAAATAATTATTTATTTTATTTTGTTTATTATTACTATTATTTCAAATTTGCTATAGAACACACACACTCACCTGAGAGAGAGACAGAGAGAAAGCGAGAAAGCAAGCCACCAGACCTGGAATTCAAAACACCATTGACCATGGGGGAGTCCAGCATCCCAACCACCATGCCACCTGCTGGCCCCAAATTTTTGCAAATTTTGAAATATCTCTACCCAAAGAAAAATCCCATTAACAAAAAAAAAGGAATTTTCAATTGTAATTTTAAAAAAAAGTGTGTATGTGTGTGTGTGTGTGCATCTGGTGATTCTGAAAGCCATTTTGTACAAGATGTTCCAAAATATTAAAAAAATAAATAACTTTGACAAAATACTTAGTTTGCAGATCCAAACTCCTCAAAGATAGCCAGGATAAAACCTAATATACCTTATAATTATATTTTTTGATACATAAAAGTAGCACCCAGTGGGCAAAAAAAACAACACACTAAAACAGGACTTAAAGAAATTCCAAGAGGGGGGACTGGAAGGTGGTGTGGTGGTTGAGGGCACTAGACTCCCACATGGCAGACCATGGTTCAAATCTTGGGCCTGGAGGCTTGCTTTCTCACACTCTATCACTCACTCTCTCTGTCTCTCTCTCTGGAAATATTAACATAATAATAATAAAAACAAAATTAAATAAACAATTTTAAAAATTACAAGAAAAAAACCTAATGAAACTAAAAATTAAAAAAAAAAAGTTTAGATATTGGCCCAATTTTCATCACTAGTATCAAGAAACGAGTCTTATTTCCCTTCAGACGAAAGCACATAACTCTGTTAAGATTCAAACTAAATTTCCTGCCACACATTCTCAATGTGCTACCCAGTTCTTAAGATCAATAGGTCACACCAAAGTCCATCTCATACACAACCTCTTTCATGAAGTCTTCCTCAGTTTCTCAATCAGATGCTCCTTCCCTCTAACTCCTTTTCTTGAGTGTGGAAGAGACCCATGAATGTCAAACAGCTCACCTTCCAGTGAGCTGAGTGCTTTCCACTCAATTATTGCACTAAGATGAGCATGTATCAATTTAAAAACGTTTCTCTCCCTCCTATCTTGTTCATCCTTCTGTGCCCAAAATTCTTACTCATCTGTATAATACCAAAAAGCACCTACCATAATACAGTGCACAGAAAAGCTACTCTATAAATGACTTTCGAATTGAAGTAGAAAAACACATTTACACATCAGTTGCAATGACTCAAGTGCACTTGATAAAATGATTGTACGTAGAAAATTCTGTTAAGCCACTCAGATCATACCACAAATTTGGAGTACGCCAATAGTACAGGATCGGAATTATAACGGAAATAACAATAAATGCAAAAACTTATCTGGTATCATCACGCATTAGTCAGACAAGTAGTTGAACAATCTGGCATCCAGTCGTTAA